AAAATATAAAATATATTTTGATTTGTTTAACACCTTTTGGTTACTACATGATTCCATATGTATTATTTCATAGTTTTGATGTCTTCAGTATTATTCTACAATGTAGAAAATAGTACAAATAAAGAAAAACCCTTGAATGAGTAGGGGTGTCCAAACTTTTGACTGGTACTGTAATATATATATATATATATATATATATATATATATATATATATACAGTGCATTCTGAAATTATTCAAACCTTACCTGTTACCTTACAGCCTTATTCTAAAATGGATTAAATTGTCCCCCCCCTCCCCCCCTTGATAATATATACACAATACCCCATAATGACAAAGCAAAAACTGGTTTTTAGAAATGTTTGCAAATGTATAACAAATACAAAACGGAAATATCAAATTTACATAAGTATTCAGACCCTTTACTCAGTACTTTGTTGAAGCCACCTTTGGCAGCAATTACAGCCTCGATTCTTCTTGGGTATGACGCTACAAGCTTGGCACACCTGTATTTAGGGAGTTTCTCCCATTCTTCTCTGCAGATCCTCTCAAGCTCTGTCCTGTCTGGTTGGATGGGGAGCGTCGTTTCACAGCTATTTTCAAGTCTCTCCAGAGATGTTTGATCGGGTTGAAGTCCGGGCTCTGGCTGGGCCACTCAAGGACATTCAGAGACTTGTCCCAAAGCCACTCCTGTGTTGTCTTGGCTGTGTGCTTAGGTTCATTGTCCTGTTGGAAGGTGAACCTTTGCCCCAGTCTGAGGTCCTGAGTGCTCTGGAGCAGGTTTTCATCAAGGATCTCTCTGTACTTTGCTCCGTTCATCTTCTCCTCGATCCTGACTAGTCTCCCAGTCCCCGCCGCTGGAAAACATCCCCACAGCATGATGCTGCCACGACTATGCTTCACCGTAGGGATGGTGCCAGGTTTCCTCCAGACGTGACGCTTTGCATTCAGGCCAAAGAGTTCAATCTTGGTTTCATCAGACCATAGAATCTTGTTTCTCATGGTCTGAGAGTCCTTTAGGTGCCTTTTGGCAAACTCCAAGCGGGCTGTCATGCCCCTTTTACTGAGGAGTGGCTTCCGTCTGGCCACTCTACCATAAAGGCCTGAATGGTGGAGTGCTGCAGAGATGGTTGTCCTTCTGGAAGGTTATCCCATCTCCACAGAGGAACTCTGGAGCTCTGTCAGAGTGACCATTGGGTTCATGGTCACCTCCCTGACCAAGGCCCTTCTCCCCAGATTGCTCAGTTTGGCAGGACGGCCAGCTCTATAAACAGTCTTGGTGGTTCCAAACTTCTTCCATTTAAGAATGATGGAGGCCACTGTGTTCTTGGGAAACTTCAATGCTGCAGACATTTTTTGGTACCCTTCCCCAGATCTGTGTCTCGACACATTCCTGTCTCGGAGCTCTACGGACAATTCCTTCAACCTCATGGCTTGGTTTCTGCTCTGACATGCACTGTCAACTGTGGGACCTTATATAGACAGGTGTGTGCCTTTCCAAATCATGTCCAATCAATTGAATTTACCACAAGTGGACTCCAATCCAGTTGTAGAAACATCTCAAGGATGATCAATGGAAACAGGCTGCACCTGAGGTCAATTTCGAGTCGCATAGCAAAGGGTCTGAATACTTAAACAAATAAGGTATTTCTGTTTTACATTTTTTATACATTAGCCAACATTTCTAAAAAACTGTTTTCGCTTTGTCGTTATGGGGTATTGTGTATAGATTGCTGAGGACTTTTCTTTTTAAAATCAATTATAGAATAAGGCTGTAACGTAACAAAATGTGGAAAAAGTCAAGGGATCTGAATACTTTCCAAATGCACTGTATATATTTACAAAAAATTATATATGGGGGATTGGAAATGATGCAGACAATTACATTGATGGAAGCCACAATCTAGCTGCAATATTAAAGCAACAGTATTGCTTCCGTCCCTCTCCTCGCCCCAATCTGGGCTTGAACCAGGGACCCTCTGCACACAAAAACAACTACTTCAAGGTCTCAGAGCGAGTGACGTCACCGATTGAAACGCTACTAGCAGGCAACGCTAACTAGCTAGCCATTTCACATGGTTACACAAGCACCAGGGTATTGAAGATGATGCAAGCTTCGACTGGAAGCCAGTGGAGTGTGGACAGGAGCGGGGTGACGTGAGAACTTAGGAAGGTTGAACACCAGGCAGGCTGCAGCTGTCACGATCGTCGACAGATGCGGACCAAGGCGCAGCGTGATAAGCGTACATACTTTATTTGTACACAACAACATGAACAAAACAACAAACGAAACGTGAAGTCCTAGGTTATACAACAAACCTTAACGGAACAAGATCCCACAACGTAACATGCCAACAGGCTGCCTAAGTATGGTCCCCAATCAGAGACAACGAGCTACAGCTGTCTCTGATTGGGAACCACCCTGGCCAACATAGAAATACACGATCTAGAACGACAAACCTAGAAAACTAAACAAGGAAAAATCCACACCCTGGCTCAACATTTAAGAGTCCCCAGAGCCAGGGCGTGACAGCAGCATTCTGGATAAGTTGCAGGGGTTTGATGGCAGAAGCGGGGAGCCCAGCCAACAGAGAGTTGCAATAGTCTAGACGGGAGATGACAATTGCCTGGATTAGGACCTGTGCCGCTTCCTGTGTGAGGAAAGGTCGTACTGTACGGATGTTGTCAAGCATGAACCTGCAGAAGCGAGTCACTGCTTTGATGTTGCAGGGAATGACAGGGTGTTGTCCAGGGTCACGCTAAGGTTCTTTGCACCCTGGAAGGAAGACACCGTGGAGTTGTCAACCGTGATGTAGAGGTCTTGCAGCGGGCAGGCCTTTCCTGAGAGGAAGAGCAGCTCCATTTTGTTGAAGTTGAGCTTGTGGTGGTGAGCCGACATCCAAGCTGAGATGTCTGCCAGGCACACAGAGATGCGTGTCGCCACCTGGGTGTCAGAAGGGCGGAAGGAGAAGAGTAGCTGAATGTCATCCGCATAGCATTGATAGGAGAGACCATGTGAGGATATGACAGAGCCAAGTGACTTGGTGTAAAGAGAAAAGAGGAGAGGGTCTAGAACCGAGTTCTGGGTGACGCCAGTAGTGAGAGCATGTGGTGCAGACACAGATTCTCTCCACACCACCTGGTAGGAGCGACCTGCCAGGTAGGATGCAATCCAGGAGTGTTTAGAGCCAGAGATGAGAGGAGGATCTGATGGTTCACGTGTCGAAGGCAGCGGATAGATCTAGGAGGATGAGAACAGAGGAGAGAGAGTAAGCTTTTGGAGAGCGGAGAGCCTCTGTGACACAGAGGAGAGCGGTCTCAGTTGAGTGAGCCGCCTTGAAGCCTGACTGGTTAGGGTCAAGAAGGTCATTCTGAGAGAGATAACGGGAGAGTTGGTCAGAGACGTTCAAGTGTTTTGGAAAGAAAAGAAAGAAGGGATACAGGTCGTTAGTTTTTGACGTCGAGGGGTCGTGTGTTGGTTGCGGCTATATAGTGATTGGCTATATAGTGATTTATCAGTCTGCATGCACTGTACTGTGCAAGTTGCTGGATCAGCAGATGAAGATACTGTGTGCGTCCCAAATGGCACCCTATTCAATATAGTGCACTACACCATGATAGGGCTCTGATCAAGACTAGTTAGTAGTCACCAGGAAACAATTGCACCTTAATTTGCACCTTGTAATGTCCTTGATTTCCCCTGAATTCTTTAAATTGGCACTTTATTCATAAAAACGATTTTTCTTCAGATTTAGAAGTATATGAATGTGTTTGTGCATGGATTAGTGAGTTTTTAAGGTGTAAACCATTGACATTTCCAACAACCCACAATTGGCCCAGCGTCGTCCGGGTTTGGCCGGTGTAGGCCGTCATTGTAAATAAGAATTTGTTCTTAACTGACTTGCCTAGTTAAATAAAGGTAAAATAAATAAATAAAAAATTTAAAAAATGACAACCCCTGAATAATTGTGCATGCTCTGCCTGAAGGCTTGAACATTTGAAAATATCTGCATGTTCTGTAAGTAGGTCTACACTACCCTTTCTTTGTCTGACTTTTGTCTTTCTGGGAGTGACAGTCCCTGTACATTTGTCTGGCACAGTGAGATTCAGTGAGCTTTATGTGGCTCAGTTGGTAGAGCATGGTGCTTGCAACACCAGGGTTGTGGATTTGATTCCCATGGGGGACCATTATGAAAATGTATGCACTCACTACTGTAAGTCGCTCTGGATAAGAGTGTCTGCTAAATGACAAAAATTTGATATTGAGAGATAAGAACATCATACAATTTTTTATTGTATTTTTTTACATAGGCCTAGGCCTACATAATAGGTCCATCATTCAAATAGCCAATATTCCTGATTCCAGACTGAATTTGGAATGTACAAATAATAATGCATCACTTTATGCAGCTTCTTTATTTCTGAACAGAACGTTTATTTTTGGGGTTCAGAAAAGCACTAGTCCAGCTTGTCACCGACATTCAACCAGTGATGTAGCGCCATCATGTGGTTATTGGTTAACACTGCAAGGAGCTGAATTACTAACACCTGTAATTTGCTCCTTACTATTTCTATACGGTATTTGCTAACTTGGAAACAGAGAGGAAGAGGTGAAGCCATAGTACATACCGAAATCTTTGCTGGGAAGTAGTTCTATATTTGAGAAAGTTGAAAGACATAAACCAGGAACTCAATTTAGAGAGATTTTAGCTTACATCATGAGACCAACATGATATTTCATGTTTCTACAATGCCTCTGTACAGTTTCTTCTACTTGCGGAGCTACATTTTCTTAGAAGCGTGAAAAAAGTCGCTACAATAATCTAAAAGAGAACAACTAGCCTTCAGTGTGTAGATTGCGCATGTGCTGGTCTAAGGTCGGTTTTGCGTTTTGACCTGTGAATTAAAAAGTAATGCAAAGTTCAAATGGACAACTGGTCCTACATCTGCGCTTGGGAGCTCCAGCGGAAACTGGCACGAAGAAGAAGGAAGTAGAATTACGTTTGTTGTCACGGTCACATGTTCAAATCTAGTCGATCAGCTGACTGCATCCCTTCCCTTTTGATGGTTAGATTTTATTTCCTCAATTGAGCGAGTTCGGGGTCTGAATAACATATTATTTAGAGTATTCAGACCGTTCGGCGTCAATTTTAAACACCAAACTGAAGGTAGCATAGTGAGATAGCCCGCAAAATATCGCGGTTTGGGTGATCATGAACGGACACGCCATTCTTTACACCGGGGTCACTTTGGCCTTCTGGAGTACCATTCTCATCGTCGGTAAGAATTTGTTTTTGCTATATTTGCTAGCTAGGGAAATGGGGTTAATGATGATGCCAAATATATAATGAATTCGGTAAATATATGACTTCCATTCATTTGATTGTAAATGTCTGTGTCGTGCTTCACAGACAGTGTTGCTTGCCAGCTAACGTTAGCCTGTTGCGCTAGTTAGCGGCAATGGCGTAAACTAAACTGGGTCTGCAATTATATGCTAGATAGGTAATAGTTCTATGTCAGGCAGGCTAACTGACTAACTTCCTCGAATTACATGTTGTTGTTTAACTTTGGCACTGTCGTCCAAAAAGTAGATTATCTAGGTATTCGTTTGTAAGAATTTGACTAAACGTTTGTAGGAATTAACGTCAGCTAGTTACCTAACAAGTAAGCTAGCTAGTTGTTAGCTAGCTAGTTGTTAGCTAGCATATCACTGCAGAGCCTGTAGTCTGTTTAATCAGGCTGTAATACACAATAAATTGGTGTATATACAGCCTGACGCTAATGCCTACAAAATCCTGTAAATGTACCTTACAAGTAAGAATGTTTAATACAATTACATTTAAATTTACTCTACCGGTTGTCTTTGCGGGTTGTCCTTCCTCTGTTTGAGACACAATATCCACAGGAAAGTAACTGGTAGAGTAAGTTTAAAAGTAATTTTATTAGACATTCTGGCTTGTAAGGAACATTTACACGATTTTGTAGGCATTAGCTTCAGGCTGTATATACACCAATTTATTGTGTATTACAGCCTGATTAATCAGACTAGAGAGCCAAATAGTTAGCTGATGTTCGATTGCATAAGGCTACCCTGGACGAAAACGTTAAAAGCATACTGTTAAGTATATACAACTTTGTTAGTTAAATAAATAATTTATAGTAGCCAAAGTTATGCAATGCCATAGCTAGCTAGCTCACTTGCTTGGTTGCTAGAGTCAGGAAAATGGGAACTGAAACACTTCTCATGTGGGGGTGAGCTATCACACTTATCTTCTGACACTTAGTCATTTCTCTGACACGTTTTTGTTCTGCAGCTGTGTGGCTTCGCGTGTACTGTTACTGTACTGTACTGCAACACACAAATGCATAAACCCATGAAAATGTTTGCACACTTTTGTTCTGCATACTTTGCAATGCATTACCTGGATTGGTTTTGTTTTTCAGGTATTTGCTACACAATCTTCAACCTTGGATTCCGCTTTGATGTGGCATGGTTAGTATGACACACAATCCCTTGTCTTAGAACATAATATCATAGACGTAAGAATAGAAATCTGTCTTTATATTCTGAGCCTGGTGCTGATTACTGGTGGTAGAATTTCAGTCAGGTGTTTTTCCCCCAGAAATATTAGCCTAGACTAGAACATGGAACGTTTGATTTTCATGGTGAAATTGTGCTTTCTCTCTCCCACAGGTTTCTGACAGAAACCTCACCCTTCATGTGGGCGAACCTTGGGATTGGCTTGGCCATCTCACTCTCTGTTGTTGGAGCTGCTTGGTGAGGACTCTTCATTTCTGCCTTTGAGTGTTTCTTCAGAAGAGATTGTCCCATTTTGAATAGAGAAGTTGTGAAATTTGACTTGAACATTTAAATAGCAACTAGTGTCTTGTCCCCTTCCTCTTCCCCATTCCGTTTAGGCTAAATTACTCTTCTTGGATGGCATGTTCTGTTAATGTTTATACTGAATTGTGTCCTCCTTGTTTTACAGGGGCATTTACATCACAGGTTCCAGTATCATAGGAGGTGGTGTAAAAGCACCACGGATTAAAACAAAGAATCTGGTCAGGTAGGCTATTAATAAGAGAATGAAACCAGTCCCTCCCTCCCCCAATAACAGCTATTTTTCCATTTCCCCCTCCCAACTCAGACCACTTCAAGACAGTACTAGCAACATTCTTGCTTGAGAAATTGCTCTAGCTAAGAAGCAATTTCTCTTTATTTTTGACAATTTAAAGCTACTTTTTGGGCGACCTGGCCAAATTCACATAGAAATGTGAGTTATAGATTTTTACGTTTTTTTAAGCAAGTCTAAGAAGCGGTAGATGTTCTATATGTGCTATTTCTGTGCTTCCCGTTCTGAAGTGTTTTTTTTTTTTTCATCTTTACTTTCGGTGTTGTACACCAGCTTTAAACAGCTGAATATACAATATTTTTTGTTATGGAAAATATATTTCACTGCGGTTTAGATGGTACAATAATTCTCTACACAATGACTGCTTGTTTTGTCACAAACTGAAATTACGCAAACTATTAGAATTTTAGCAACCAGGAAATGGCAGCGATTTGTGCACAGTGCCTCTTTAAGAGATATTTGGTAATACTGCCACTGAACACAAGGGGCACTATTTTTAAAGTTAAACAAGTAACTGAAAAATGCTACTCAGTTTGCTGCATGCACAAAACAAATATTAGACCACAAGGCTCTTGATCCAGGAGGGGATTCTCTGCTTTTACCAAGCGAAGCTTGATTTTGGAAGAAGCTAACCACTTAGCTAGATGGCTAACTATTCTGCTAAATGACTAAAATGTAGCTACTAAATTTCCAAACCAAATGCACAACTGCAGAGCATTTAGCACATTTTAGACAGTTAACATATTAATTATAAGATATCTAGCTGGCAAACATTTAGTTGTGAATTCCATACTGTAACTAGATCACCTGGCGCGTGCGGCACAACAGTGAGTGACTCACAAGGCTCCGGTCTGTCGACATTGTGTGCTTGTAAACAAACACCACGTGAGTGGTGACTACTTGTAAGCTTCATAATGAAAAATTATGTAACAATTGAAATGAAGAACACAATCTTCTCCTAACGTATTGCACAAGTTGACTGCAGGTTGTAGCTACTTAAAAAGTAGCTACAAATATTCAAATGTATTAAAATAAATAGTTTTGAAGGTATTTAAAAACTATACCGTGGCTATTCCCAAATACCCCGGTATATGGTCTACAACCCAAGCCTACACAGTAAGGTACTTAATTGTTACCCAGAAATGAATTGATATTGAGATAAAAACGGCTGCATTGGGCTTTTAAGATGAATGCACTAACTGTAAGTCGCTCTGGATAAGAGCGTCTGCTAAATGACAAATGTAAATAGAGCATACAAGGCCTATTTCTCAGGCCCAGATTAAGCCTAGACATTGACTAAAAAGCATTTTCCATTGACCGTGCTTTTTAGTCCAGGAATAGGTTTAATCTGGGTCTGAGAAACCGGTCCATTATGACACAGATTCTACATGTTGGCGTAAAACTTGTATATCTGTATGTGCATACTGTATTAAGTCCGCATCTTTCTGATCAATGTACTACTGTGTTAAATGCTGTGGTTGTCTCCTCCTATCCAAAGCATTATCTTCTGTGAGGCTGTAGCCATCTATGGGATCATCATGGCGATCGTTATAAGTAACATGGCTGAGGTAAGCAAGAGGGGGATGGCATACTTTGATCATTTGTGCCCTTTTTTAATTTTGACTAGTGATTATGGTATTATGGTGACCGGATTCCAAATGGCACCCTATTCCCTAGTGTACTACTTTTGACCAGAACCCAATGGGCCCTGGTCAGATGTAGTGCACTATTGTACAGTGCATTCGGAAAGTATTCAGACCCCTTCACTTTTTCCACATTTTGTTACGTTACAGCGTTATTCTAAAGTCCTCTTTAGGTGCCTTTTGGCAAACTCCAAGCGGGCTGTCATGTGCTTTTTAATGAGGAGTGGCTTCCGTCTGGCCACTCTACCATAAAGGCCTGATTGGTGGAGTGCTGCAGAGATGGTTGTCCTTCTAGAAGGTTCTCCCATCTCCACAGAGGAACTCTGGAACTCTTTCGGATTGACCATCGGGTTCTTGGCCACCTCCCTGACCAAGGCCCTTCTCCCCCGATTGCTCAGTTTGGCCGGGCGGCCAGCTTTAGGAAGAGTCTTGGTGGTTCCAAACTTCTTCCATTTAAGAATGATGGAGGCCACTGTGTTCTTGGGGACCTTCAATGCTGCAAAACATTTTTGGTACCCTTCCTCAGATCTGTGCCATGACACAATCCTGTCTCGGAGCTCTACGGACAATTCCTTTGACCTCATAGCTTGGTTTTTGCTTGACATGCATTGTCAACTGTGGGACCTTATATAGACAGGTGTGTGCCTTTCCAAATAATGTCTAATTACATTTACATTTTAGTCATTTAGCAGACGCTCTTATCCAGAGCGACTTACAGTTAGAGTGCATACATAATTATTTTTTCTTATTTTATTTATTTATTTATACTGGCCCCCCATGGGAAGCGAACCCACAACCCTGGCGTTGCAAACGCCATGCTCTACCAACTGAGCTACATCCCTGCCGGTCATTCCCTACCCTGGACGACGCTGAATTATTGAAATTATTTTTTAATTTGCAAAAAAATCTAGCCTGTTTTTGCTTTGTCATTATTGGGTATTGTGTGTAGATTGATGAGGAAAATAATTAATTTAATCAATTTTAGAATAAGGCTGTAACGTAACAAAATGTGGAAAAAGTGAAGGGGTCTGAATACTTTCCGAATGCACTGTATGTAGGGAATAGGGTGCTATTTGGGACTGAACCTGTGGCTCCTAATTGTAGCCTCTCAGATATGACATCTTGGAGTAGATCCCTGATGTGTGTGTGATACTATAGTAGACTGCTCAGATTTCATTAGAGACCTATTGCTTTACATCTCTCTTTTTATAGAGCTTTAGTGGCACCACACCAGAGACTATTGGGGCAAGGAACTACCAAGCAGGTAAGAAATTAATGGTTGGCGGGTGTTGATTAGCCTGGTCCCAGATCTGTGTGTGCTCTTGCCAACTCCATTGCTGTGATTTTCAATCCAAACAATGTTTGGCATGACAACGAGTTGGCATGATGGCACAAACACTGGCACTCAGGCTAGGTGTTGATTGGAACCAGTCCTTAAATTCCAATGTGATAAAGGCAGGCACAAGTAAACTAGGCACATTTTCCCATTGGCTTAGTTAAACAGTGCAATGATCAAATCCAGCTGAAGGAAATGCTGTGTTGTTGTGATTGCGTTCTCTCCTAACAGGCTACTCCATGTTTGGCGCTGGTCTTACTGTGGGATTCTCCAACCTCTTCTGTGGCATCTGTGTTGGCATTGTTGGTAGTGGGGCCGCCCTGGCAGATGCTCAGAACGGCAGCCTCTTCGTTAAAATCCTTATTGTGGAAATCTTCGGCAGTGCTATTGGGCTATTTGGAGTGATTGTGGCCATCTTGCAGGTAACTGACATTCTTTTGAAATGGTTTTCTTTCACCCCTTGATTGGTTGAATAGCATAATATTCTATCATATTCAGTAGCTGATTGCATCAACCAAGTATAGGTTTGTTTTATTACATACTTGGTCAAATGTATTTTTCTTGTAGACGTCGAAAGTAAAAATGGGTGACTAGAAGATTTATCCTCAAGATATAAGATCAAGATGACAAGATCTATGGAAGACCAAGCTGGAGAAGCAGATGGATTGTGTAAATACATAGTAAATTATTTAAATGTATTTTTTGTCTTTGATTGTTTTTAACCATAATTTGCTGAAGAGTGACATATTTGCACCATTTTGTCTTAAAGGAATGCAGCCAAATGGTTAGATTAAACTGCAGGTGTTTAAGACAAAATCCTATCCCTTTTGAATACAATTGGTCTTCATAGTACAGTAGTACATATAATTTAATCTCTAGCAAACCTCATGGCTTTCCGCACATACATTTACTGTTGTATCAAATCTATCACTATTGAAAGGGCCACTAGACATTTAGGGAACGTACTCCGTAGTAGGGACATTTTATCAAAATATGTTTGATTTCATTAACATCTGTACACTATAGGATTTGTTACCCGTGATCAAATCATGGAATGCCACTATTGTGTATTAACATCTAAGGTACCCAAGTCTGGTTTGACATGCAATGGTTTCTCTGGTAGTGGACATGCTTGCTGTTCCACAAAGAGCTGTTCTGTTCATTACATGGAAGTGGAACATTTCAACAATGTCATAATTTGTATTGAATGCCTGTAAAAATGTGTTTGAAGCATTGAACTGTTTGTATGCACAAGTCATAAGGTATAACAAAGCAAATGATTATATTTATGACTGATGTAATCCATAATGTTTTTCCACTAGTTTCAGTTACTATATGTTTTTCCATGACTGGTGGAAGTAACCATTTCTGTAGTAACACAAAATGAATCAAAATGTATGGATACAAGGGTGATCTAAGGAGATATTACACTGAAATGGTAATTGTTGTGAAATGGAAATTGTTGTTGGTCATCTGACATTGGTCAGCTGGCATTCTTCAGTCTTTTCATTTGTTTTGATGTATGCATAACATTTTGGTAGGCACTCTTCAGTTCTGATTGGTTAAAAGTTAGAATAGTAAATTGTTGTGTGTACAGTATATAAAGGGCACATGTCTGTTTCTTTGTGAAGCATGAGGGTGTTTACGATTCTGATGCAAGTGGTCTTTATCCACGGTGAGTGAACTGTCGCCGATTAATATATGTATATCTGATTTCTAGTGACCATCGATTTATGTCTAAGTTTTCTCCTTCTCAGATCTGTAATCCCCTGTAAACTCCATCTGTTGAGAGTGAGAAATGTAGATGTTTTCCTCAAGACCATTTACCCTTGTCAGTGTTTTCCCCTATATTCATTTAGCAGCGGCGCACCATAGCAATTTTATAATATAGATGTATACCACAAGAAGACACCCCGCCCCCACTTCCTCTGCCACCGCTTCTGAAGACCACCACCCACTACTTCTGCCACCACTGCTGAAAAATCCTAGGGGAAACACTGCGTGTACATTTTCTGCTTTCCTTCAGTTTTGGGGTAATTTTGAGCTTGAATGATCTGAGCTCCTTGTCTTTCGACTGCTGTGAATGGGCTGACATGCATACTCTTTTGGAGAGATGGTACTCGAGCAGAACATCGATAAGAACTTTCTCAGACCAGTTGGCCTTTTTCTTAGTCGTGATTTTGTCTTGTTTTTTTTATCTAATGAATTACTGTGTTACTGATAAAACAATTAGCTTGAGCCCTTAAAAGTTAAAAATAACCATAGAGTCTGTCATAAACTGTCTTCCATTTTAATGTTCATAACATTCAACTTGCTGTGACCATGTTTGTCCCAAATGGTACCCTATTCCCTACGTAGTGCACTACATTTGACCAGAGCCCTTTGGGCCCTTATCAAAAGTAGTGCACTATAAGAAATAGGGTTCCATTTGGGATGCATTTATGACTGTATACTTATGGAGGGCTCCCACTGAGTGTTACCTCCTATCCTCACCAACCATACATGTACAGTATTTTTTTTTTTATGTAGAAGTTAATGGTCTTTATCCATGGAGAAGAAAGATTGTTTGACTAGTCCCTATGGCAAAAGGCCAAAAAAAAGCATTTGAAATGGTGTTTAGTGTTGGTTTCATACATTGATTCAGCTGTGTTCATTACTTTTGAGCATTTCAAAATGGACCTTTGGTGTAATACTGGGTTGGCCATCCTGGTCCCGGAGAGCCTCAGTACTGAAGGGTTTAACTTGAATTGATAACATTTGGATTGTAAGTCCAACTGTTGGTGTAAAAGTATGCTGCTTGAGGGATGGCCATGAATGCACATGGCTTACGAGGCCCTCTAGGTCTTTGGTTGGCCACCTACTGTAGTGGTGTCATTCCTAATGTAAAGGAAGATTTCTAGACCATGCTTCAGTGAGTGTTTAATATGTTGATGTGGTAAATCCATTGTTTTGATGTATAAAAGTGGGTTCTCTTGACTTCATAATTGTCCTTGAAAGAATAAAATACTCCAACCTGACCGTTCAATCAAATGTATTTTATAAAGCCCTTTCTATATCAGCTGTTGTCACAAAGTGCGTTACAGATAGTGGGCCTAGTGGCTAGGAAAAACTCCCTAGAGGGAAGACACATAGAGAGGAACCCGGCTCAGAGGGGTGACCAATCCTTTTCTGGCTGTAAGTAGTTGATTATTTTTTTGTGTGTGGTTCTGTAACCTTACTTATGTCCCAGTCCCACTCTTTGTCCCAAATAAATTCCCACTAGATGGTGCTAGATAATAAGTATTGGTACATTTACCGGGGACCTATCAAACCTTATGCCTGCCTTATTGCTTAATTACAACATTTACAAAAGTGGGGGCAGCTACATTTGGCATATTAATTAAATTACTTTGCTTGACTTTAGAAATATCAAGTTGTACCCCACAATAGTGAAGAAATTATTTACATTTACAGTAGTCCTATCTTTTAGCTGCAGACTACTAGAGATGTGCAACGCAATAATAGTACCTAGTTTAAGCTCCCTCTGGTGGCAGAATACAAGGGTGTTTGGACTATCTGAGATTCCGTACTGAGGAGCACGAGAGCAGAGAGGAAGAGTGGAAAAGAGAGGATCGACACCGCCCAAAATCTGTCCGCGCGAAAATAAGCGTTAAGCAGACCAAGTTGGGGAGTTTTTGTAAAGGGGGGGGCAATGAGTGTCGAATTTGTTGAAGATAATATTTAATTGCTATTTTGATAGGCGAGGATTATTTGATCGAATTAAAGTGTGATAGTGCTTAGGTTGTTACGAGTGTAATGATATAAGTGTAATGCGTGTGACATTTGGAGAAAAAATATTTTATATCGAGTTGTGCCTGTTGTTCACATGCGTATCTGCCCTCTCATTGGCTAGAATGTTCCCACCTGATCTCGCCTCCTCCCGCCTTTGTGGACATGTATTTCCATTGTTAGTGCGGTCAGTCGACCATCTTGTTGATATAATAGATCATCTTCGGCGAGAGAAAACTGCTACAGACTCCTTTTTTTGTTTTCATAGCCACGTCAAAACGTAACGGACTGACGGAATTAGGAAGGTAGAAGATTTACTACCCTATATTTGCCCTCCGTAAATAATCAAACAATGAGGCATTCATATCTCCCATGTCTGTTATATGGCAAAACGTTTTGATGAATGTGTCTGCACGAAAAATGAAATGACCGATTTATATCATCAGAAATAAATAAAACGCGCTCCAGGCTTTATTACGTGGATATTACGTGCCTTTTAACGACAGACTGCAGGTTTTCGTGAGGACCTTTTGTTATTTAAGTTTTGTATATGACATTTACAGATTTCATATAAAAGGTCGCTGCAACAACAAAGAACATGTATTCATAGGAGAGGAGGATTGCTTGCTACCTCAAGGTAAGAATACATTATATTTCATTTGTTCATCATCACATTTCGTTATTTTGTTTTCTTTGTATTTTTACATTTAGCCTGCCATTTGGATTCTTCTTTATTATCATATACATCTGCATTTATCTACATTTATATGTTTAATGGTGGTTATTTACGTTTTATTATACAATTTGGTTTGTTGTCATGCACATTTTGCTGAAGCATGCTGCTGCTAGACCCGCCATTCTACATGCATTTGCAACGTCCCTTTTTTCAAGTGATCCAAACGTTCGACATTATTTCTACAAGCGGAAAGTTCCTTTGATCAGCGATGGAACGATCCATCCGGGCAGCATGCAGTGATGCTCTCATGCTGCCAACTGGTATCTAGTTAGTTATAAGAAGATGTTGACAAGTTGCTCAAATGATTATTTACTATCTACATAATAACTCACGAAATAGAGAGCTATGTCTATACGGCCATTTTCATCTAGATCTATAGGCTGCAGTTGTCTATACTCCAGTGATATCAAGTGATGTAGCCTACATTGTTTGCTGAAGTTTTAGGCTACTAGCTATATAGCCTACATACTGTAAGTAGATATCACTATCTCTTGATCAGAAACTGGTTTTCACATCAATGCTACGTATCCTCAGCTTAGTTTTCCATGTCAAATGTACCCATTTAGAATTACTTCTGTGTCATTTTGTGCATTGATGCGATAGTGTTTGTAGGGCCAAACTGATCATGGATGCATTCACTTCACTGAAGTCTTACTTTGTACAAGTGGTTTCACTGACCTCACTTCAGTCAGTCAATGACAGGGTCATGATGAACTCAGTATAAATTAATGGAACCCACAATAACAGTGGTGGAAATGTGTTTTGTGCAGTTAGGCTCCTTTGCTCCAATTATATCCCTCCTGATCACAAACAAATCACAAAATAATCAGGAATAATATGTTGAGCACTATCTGCTTTTTGGTTTGTGCACCCTGTAGCGGAAGAATGCATCCATGATCAGTTACATTGTTTATGAGCTCTTGTAGTCCCTTTTAACTCAGTTGGTAGAGAATGGCGCTTTCAAGCCAGGGTTGTGGGTTCGATTCCCACGGGGACTAGTATGAAAAAAGTATGAAAATGTAAGCACTCACTACTGTAAGTCGCTTTGGATAAGAGTGTCTGCTAAATGACGGAAATGTGCACTATCAGTAGGCTACCAACACTGTTGATAATTCTGGAACTAGCTCTCACCTTGGCTCTCAAATCATTTTAGCTCCTCAACTCATTTGGTTGCTGCAGGGCAACACCACCAAATTGTTTAAATGAGAACCTCATGAACCTATTCAATCTGATTGCAATTGTCCCAATTTCAAATCTCTTTTATCATTCACAATGCATGGCTTCCCCTTAGGATTACATTTGATGGAGAACCTTGCTGGACGGATACTGTTGTCTGGAGCTTTTTGAGGCAGTGGCCTTTGTGCATACCAATGAATGTGGTCCATAGCCTGATGGTCCCCCTTCCAGGGTGGCCAAAGCCAACATGGTCTCAGAG